GAAGGTGATCCACATACCATGAAAGCCCATGAGATGATAAAAGAGCGTAGCATCTTTTACACACAAAACCAAAAAACAAGCGTTCCGGTCCCGTGGGGCATATCATAACGACTGTGTAAGACGAAAAGTCCTCTCAAGACCTCACAAATCGCAGTAGGTCGTTGTACCTGATGTAAGGCCTCTTTCAACTACTTTTCAACGTCCATCTCTCTGTATGATTGAGCCAAATGAGTGGAGAGCCTTAAAAAAAACCTACCCAAAACAACCAAAGTTCACAACGCCCTGTTGGGGATTCGAACCAGAGCCACCCCCTCTGTAGTCCAGCAAGATATCGTCCGAGCTAATGTTTAGTTTTAGTAATAGTTTTACGGCACTTGCAACATAATGACGTCATGATATGAGTGCCCAAGATTAGAGGTGTTACAAGAGAGTAACAAACACAAAAAAGGAGATGGGGAGATAAAAATGATAGACGTTTGATAGGAAAAAAGAAGCAAACCACACAAGAGCACCCATTAACCACCCACCTGAGCTAACTGAGGAAACATTAAGTATACATATAATATGATCTTTAGTACTGAAAAAAATGTAGATGTATGAATAAATTACCATAACTTTAATAACATTATGTATTTTAATGTGCTCTATAAATTTGAACTTTGCGGTAAACAAAACTTGTACCATTTCTACGGGTCGCTTGTGCACAATACATTTCAAGCTCACATAACATAGACTATATGGTGCATTCGTGCCCTACTGTGAGTATGTGTGTGTGTGAGTGTGCGTGTGTGTGAGTGTGCGTGTGTGTGTGTGTGTGTGTGCATGTGTGTGTGCCTGTTTAGTTTTAGTAGAGACTTTACGGTGCTCGCAACTGCACAAGGTCATATGAGCGCCAGAGGATTAGAGGTGTTACAAGAGAGTAACAAACACAAAAAAAAGAAGGAGGGGAGATAAAGACGACAGACGCTTGATAGGAAAGAAGAAGCAAACCACACCAGAGCACCCGCCAATCACCCACTGTGTGCCTGTGTGTGAGTGTGTGTGAGTCTGTGCGCAGCATGTGAATTTGTGAGTGTGTGTTTGTGTGACCGTGTGTTTGAGTGTGAGTCTATACATGCGTGCCCATGCGCGTGTGTGTGTGCTCACATGCACCCCTGCGCACAAACACACACATACACACACAAACAAACACACACACAACACACCCAAACAAACACACACGTGTGCACATACGTGCATGTGAACATGCACATTAAAGAGCTGTACCACCACCACCAAATCGTCCAGTCTTGAAGCAAATACGCACTGTTTACTCACACTAGATTACAATAAAGGAACAAATCAATGCTGCATTCCCTAACAGTTATTCAAACTCGCAAACTTCAGTGAATGCAATAGAAAACAGCTCCCAAGCTATTTCTTAACAGCTCCCAAGCTGTTTCCTGTTTTTAAAAAAGTATGTTACTTTTTCCCCATTGACTGAAAATTATGCTTCCTTCGTATTCCTCAAACAATCCATAATTTTTCTTAAAATATCAAATTAATCCATGATTAAGCAGACAGTTAGGCTGAGAAAGTTGATAGCAAAACATCGAGAGCATCAACGAAAGATATGAAGTCCAACGTATTCATGCATGCAAAAAAAAGAAAGAAGTAGATTCGGAAAACCTATCAGGTGTTCAGAATGCAAAGACAATAAAAACACATTAAAACACAGAAAATCATACGAAATCAAGAGCAAAACACCTAGCTGCACGAATACAGTCGTCTGCTTAAATACAAGGCAATATAGTTTGTTGCATTTTGTAAATCATGACACAAAAACTTATAAATCTGTGCATTCATTCTGACAGTTTCCCAGACAAAATTGTGTTACCGCTGATAAGAACGCTCATTTCAATATTTGGCTTCTAAATTCATTATGGTGACATCGATTTTTAAAGTATGTCCGAGAAACCCATCCGACTCCACCCC